TCTACATAGGCACATGGAGAAGTCACAACATCATTGGAGATACCTACTTAAAGAATTCAAGAATGAATTTAATAAACTATTTAAAAACAAGAATGAATTTGTTAAATATTTAAGTAGGTACTTTAGTAAATCTCGCTACTTTTTGTAACAGTTCTGGGTTTCAGTTATTGAAGATAGCCAGAAATGATTCAACTATAGACTGATATATTTGCTTCTAAAGTTATTGTAACATATATGAACAATATTAATCATCACTGAAACATCAAGATTATCTACCAGTTTTAAAGGACATTTGAAAAATGTTTTGCTTAGTGGGTTCTTGAGCAATGTGCAACTGTGATATATTCTTCTTGTTAGAATATCTACTCATATGTTCAATAATCTTTCATAAAAAATCCTTATACAGTTGCTTATTGGTGTATAAGCTAAATAATTGAAGTAATTCTAAAATCATCAAAATTATCACCAATACATTTTTCTATTTTTTAGTAATATGACTATGTTCATGAATTCTCGTGACATTTTCGGATTATTAGCTTTTTTTAGGCCCGAATTATTAATGTCCTGGAAACGTGACAGTTAAGGTTATTCTCCTGTTAAAACCATGATCCACCTGTCAGATAGTAAACAGCAACTAGTTTCGCCTGTTAATATTTAAACAATGAATAACTACAGTATAAAGTGACAGATGCCATTGTCAAAAATAAAAAAAAATGGATATCGACGATTATCAAAATATAATCATTGGAAGAACTAGAATTTTAGATCAAATACCTGATCATTTTAATTCTTGGGGTGATTATGATTTTGAGAATAGGTTTAGTTTAAACAATCTAAAAACACAGTTCAACATTTATTAGAAAATATATAAAAAATAATTAGGGATTCTACAGAAAATCACACAACACTTTTTCTCGTCATTTATTATTCTAATTGCATATTTAACGACTAAATCGCAAAGAAATTCAACTTCTGTAATTGGAAAATTGACCGATATATCCTTTTTTATTTTCACGTCAGTCATTTAATCTTTGATGATTAATACATAATAAGGCTTAATCAGTACCAAAAACAGTTAAAAGATATTAACGTCAAAACTTGTGCTATTTCCTGTTGAAATTTTAACTACTGTCAAATAACTAACGTTGTCATGTTGTACGTCACTTGGTAAGTATCAGTGGTTTAAAATTGGGTTGATAATGCGTAATATGAGGTTAAAATTTATCCTACTGATTACTGACATTAACTTTACCAGGAGATTAATAATTCGACCCTTAGGGACATTTTAATTAGTACTATGATGAAATAATAAAGTGACTGATGACGTGCAACAGGATTTGTATTAAAAATACTAAACTTCTTATTCAGTTTAACATAAATTTTCCAAAGTTTTAATACATTTATAGCTTTTTATGACCAGTCAAAAACATATTTTTTTTCTGCAGTTCAAAATTCTACAGAAAAATAACCTTTGTCAGTTCATTAAGGGAACTCATGGTAAGAGTGCCACTTGAAGCTGCAGCCATCCCAGACAAAGTTAAAGCCTTTGATAGCCTACACTGCAATACATAGTTCACTACTTTTCGAAATTCACACTAAAAGCCTTCCTGCATGACTAATTTATAACAGAGATTAAGCAAGTATTTTTTGTGTTACTTTATTTATGTTTGGAATGCATTTTTGTTGAGATACTGATACATTCCTAATCTTGTCAGCAAGGCAAGTAAATGTAATATCCAAATAGATATTTTTCAATACTTACTGATATCTCAAAGTGGATAAATTTTGAGTATATTGTTATTATAAAGCTTATCATGATCTGTCAAACTATACATCGAATTTTTGCATGTTTTTGCAGAAAATAACCTTGCTATTTTTATACTAGTCCCTACTCTGTTCCTGTCTCTTTTTTAGATTAAGTAAATGTTTTTCAAGTATGGTCTGTAAATTTTTTAAATAACACTTCACTGCTGACAGATGTAATACTGATACTGATTTAAAACGTACGTCATCGTTATAGGTCTTCAAAATTCTATTGTTTTGCTTTCCACTGTTCCTTGGACAAGTCTGGGAGGTCTTGTTCTTTTGTTGTACTGGCCATGTTTTCAGTTCATTAATAATATCTGTATCTGAGAAGTTAAAAGAGTGTAGCCCTACTACATTAGGCCTCATTGAATATGACATTATTGATTGATGCTTCTATTATAGGCCCATTAATGACTTTCAGGTATCAGAAATGGCGACACTAACTATGAAGAACAGAATTTAAACAATATTAAATTTAATAAACCATAATCAGTCTCCACACAATTTACAGGCCATACCTTGAATGTTAAATGTGATAGGAAAAAGTAAATTAATTAAATGTAATAATTGTAAACAAACAGATTAATGTTAGAAGCTTTACTTATTTTTATCCAAAATATAAAAAAAATATGTTTATTTTGGTTTGTGCCATTGTAGAAGGTGGCCAGACTAATGGCTTTGGTTCGATTTCATCTCGGCACTTTCTATACAAAGTTATAAAGCAAGGAATATGCATTAACTAGTGCGCTAATAATGTGAAATAAACGAAATTTAATTACTTAGAAATAATAGTAAAATCCGATGGGTTAAAATCAGGTTACCTTGTTGGCCATACATTTATATGCCACGTTTGAAAACTACCTCGTTTTGCTCTTTTTACTTGAAGCCGTTCTGCTTTCGGAGTAAATGTAATTTCTGTGACAATTGACAAAGAAGATGTACTTTTCTGAGATGTACAGACGCCGTTCATTGTCGCTTGTGTTCCAGTTTATTCTTTTTCATAGTTATTAAAAAAAAAATGTTTATAAAAAATGTCTGGCAGAAATAATCATGTATTGATACCTGTCATAAGAACATTTTTTGACAGATTCAATAAAATTACAGTAGTTGAGCAGTTTAAATTTGGTTTAATTTGTTGACAGTATGTGAGAATTTGAAATGTTATCCCTAACCCCATATTTATTAATCTATTTTGAAAGTGTTTTGAGAACCACAAATAAATGTTATAAACAAGTATAATTCCAATAAGAAAATAAACTATTGATTTAAAGATTTTTTAAAAATCTCAAAAATGAGACCTTATTTACTGTTTACAGGTTACCACCATGGTACTATTTTTTGCTCTCTATCTTCAAAGTTCTTGTTCTGATAAATTTAAAATTATTTATAAGCGGAAGAAAGTTGTTATTCTTTATTTTATTTAAACAAAAGTTTTTGGTGGATCTTAGAGGGTATATGTAGTTTTTAGATATTTATAAGGAAGTGACTACCATAATGGTCTAATCTTATATAGGGCTGTTTAAAAATATTAATATCATATGTATTAATACTTACCAAATACTTATAGACAAGTATTGTTATAAATGAACTCAAATTTCTGAAACAATCTGTATACATTTTGGCCTGTTTAGACCAAATGAGTAATATATTGTATGAACAATAGTTGTAATATCCTAAATTATGTATGTCTAATTTATTTAATAGTTATATTCCGTTTGTTCCATATATTTTTATTTATTATTTATAGTTTTTGGTGTTTTCCATTACAAATTTATATCTAGGAAGCTCATGGCAGTAATTACTTAGGGGAAGAATTTCTCTTTCAATCAACTGGACTCATGCCTTTAATATTCCTAATAACACTAACTTCAATAACATTATTTATCATTATAAAGTGGCTGCCCGTGAATGAGGACTCTGGGACGCCGCTCTCTCCCTCTCACCCCAAAAGGTATACTTACCCTTTATAAACAACAGTCCCCCAGTTCACGCATGGTCATTGTTTTTTAACTGATAATATTTCTTGTTGCTCTTCAGATGTAACTCTGCATCCTCCCAGGTACATAAAACGTAAGCCACCTCTCATCATAAACTTCTACACCAATATTGCCATTAGCAGCCTATCTATTAAAATTATCGTTTTGTTATTCATAAAAAGGAATAATTATTTCGTTTACTTTTGACATTCCAAAGAAGATTTATAAAAATATGTCTAAACTCAACTGCCTCTAACTTAATTAGTATTTGTTTTAGAAATAAGTATTTTTAGGTGATTGTTCCAGGATATAAAATTGTTTTATGTGTAAGAACCGACCACAATAAATCGAAGGGACATATTTTAAGTCTGAATTGAAAACATGGTAGGTTATAAATAAATAGAACCGAAGCACTTGTCTGACCATCCGTTACGAATTTCGCTGGTGTATACAAAGTTCTCTTTCAGATGGTTTTGGGGAATTTTAAATGTATCTTCTGAAAAGTAGTTTTTCGCCAATTTTCGGCTAGGCCAATATATATTTTATTTTGCCGATCAGAAGTGGGAACAATTAATATTACAACAAAAGATTTGAAATAGATGCAACGATAAAATTTACCCTTACATTTGCTCTGGTTTTACGCAGACGTCGAAGGGTGCTTCTGGTTTGACGCAATTGGTGTCAAATGAAAGCTGACAGCCTTCTCTTTAACAATAATTAGGGACGTTTGTTTGAACTCACTCCAAAAATGTAGCACAGAAGTTTGTTATTATTTTGAGGTCTACACAATTAACTTGTTTTTTTCAATTTAGCCTAAAATAATCCACCTCTTCGATTTTTGTGAGTGGTTTTAGTTTGAGCAACATTTAAGGTTTTTGTTAAAACCTTATATTTATTTTTCCGGTTATACTAGAATTTCGTTTAAAATTTATTTTTTATTAAACAAAAAAATATAAGAAATAAAACTAATTGTTGTATTTAAAGTGTGCAGAAGATTATATTAATATAATCCCTGTCTTTTTAATGAAAGTTCGTCTACTGCTTTCGACTTTTTAAACCATTATCAGAACTCTATAAATAAAAAATGTTTCAGGTCAGAATAAACATTTGAAGGGTTAAGAGAAAAAACAGGGAATGTCACATTTTTTTGTTTTTAAGAAAACCGGAAATTAAACTTTTGCTACAGTTCTACTTCAATGAACAGCTTCATAAATATAATTTTTTTTTATTTAGAAACAATACGGTATTCTATTAGCTGCAAGGACATTTTTCAGTAAAGTGTTAAAAAACATTCAAAAAATTAAAAATAGTAACAAAGTACAGAAAAAAATGGAAAAAAACAAGGCGTTTAATTGTAGGAACGGGGCGCAAAAGTAGCGGGATCGCTGAAAAAAAGGAAAAAATATGAAAACGAAATCTGAGAAGAAGAAAAATTATATTTTACCTGAAACTACAATATAATAATGAGCCCTACTGATGTGGCAGCGACGTGAAATAAACTTGGGCCTCCTGGTTGCAAAATCTCTTTAACGTCATTAGATTTTTTGTATTTAGCCACAGGAATTGGGAGTAAATCTGAAAAAAATACATCTAAATATTATTTTGCGACTCATTTTAGTTATTATATTATTACCATTATATGCGGGTAGGGGAAGTTCAAATTCACCATCTGGTAGGGGAGTTTCAACTTTTGAATTTTCTGGGGTTTACTGTCATCGGGTGTTTTGTCCAGGTACCCTGATAACTTATTTTGCAATTAATGAGTCTTGAATGTTCTTGTTAAGCTTCTATTTGTTTGATTTTCTGGATAGGGAATGTGCATTTTTTTGCATAGCTTCTATTTTTTTAAAAAAAAGTCCCGTTCCTTTATTGGATCTTGTTTCACCTTAACTACTTCGAATGGTGAAGGCCTTACCCTAGATGCCCTTAAAAGTTCAAACTAGTCTGTGTGGATTTCCATGTGAGTCTTTAAATTGACAAGACCCATAAATTCTTATCACATTCCATATAGGAATGGCCTCTTTCAGGAAATGTGATTCTTATTGAGTCCAGCAGTTTCATTTTGTATACCACGTAGTGTATAAAACAAAACATGGGATAATTTTTGTTTTGGCCTCCTGCTGAGTCGCAAAATACAATACTTCATTTGGGCCTTTCTTTGCAGTTGTCTGGGGATATGAGTAAAAAATTGATTGGCCTGTAGACAGCACGTGGATATTAAAACTGTATATGGACAGTTGCCTCAAGTAATATACATAATTGGTAGTCACATTTGATAATGATACATTTTTTTGGTAGTCTAACGCGATTGCAACATAATCACGTGACTTTTTTTCTTCTTTTTAAAATCATAAAATGCCTGCGCTTTACACTTATGCAAATCGTTTTCCATGTTTAATTTACGAATCTGAATAACATCTTTTTCAGGGTTCAATGATTTTAATTTCGCTTGAACTTTGTCACATGCAGAACAAGTGTTTGTTCTTGGATAACCAAACGTCAGATTAAACTTCTTATTGAAAATCTCTCTATATGTTACATACGACACGGTGATAGTTGGATACTTTTCTTTAAAAAGCTTATACATTTTTGTGATGTTCAGATCCTCTGGCAAATACTTTTTCTTGGAATCGTGCAAACTGTAATGGCGTAATCTGCTTTTAAATGCATTTATGTGATTAATACTGTATCAAAAGCTTGACTCAATCTCCTGTGGCTTGAACTATGCTTACCACGCTTGTCTTTCCCCGGAGTTCCTGTAACTTTCAAGTTTTTTTTTGCAGATATTCAACTTTGCCTTTACTTATGCCATGGATTGACTGGAAGCCTTTAAAACAGACGTTCACTTCTTCTGCTTTATCGCCACGTTTAATCCTAACTTTGTACATAAAATAAGCATCGTGAAACATTGCATTCATTACCTTCTTCTTGAGGATTTCGTCTCCTTTGTACTGGCACTAGAGACATCAATCCTGCCAAATATACATTTTGTTCGTCATTTGAACTTAAACTGTTAAAATATTGCAACATTTCTTTTCTCTCTATTTCAGTTATGTTTTCAATACATCTCAGTCTTTTACAGTTACATGGCGGCTCTTCTTCGTGAGACTGCAAACGTATTTTTTTCATCGCATCGACCATTCGTCCAGTTTTTTTTTTCCTTTTTTTGTAGTGCAATCAGGGATAACATTAGAATCACTTTCAGAAGACATTGTTTACCCGCACAGACACTAGAAACACCTATTTTCTATTTCTTAAACTGCATAGAATAGACACGTTCCTTCTAACCTCCGACAGTAAAACATAAGCAATGCGTTGAAACTGAAATAATAAATTTTAATGCCTCGGATGTTTCTCATTTCACATGGACACTCCTACTTTTTTACCTTCACACGTGGACATTCATTGTTTTTATCCTGCGTATCGATATTTTAAGTAGGCATATTAGCTGGACAGTTCTAGGTTTTACCCGCTATTTTCTTGTAAGCATTTGGTTTATAATATAGCTAATAGATGGCACTAATAACTCAATTGTAGAAAAATTGTGACATTCCTTGTTTTTTCCCTTAACCCTTCATTTATAAACTTCAAAAAAAAAAAAAAAAATGACAGAAAAACAAAGCAATTAAAACCAGCAAATTAATCGACATTTTTGGTGATTGACAATACAAGGATTGGTTTCTGCATTGTCAATAACCAAAAATATTGACAAATTTGCTGTTTTTAATTGATCTGACCATTTTTCTGATATTTATTTTTGACGAGTAAGTTTATAAATGTTTATTCTGTCCTGTTCAGTTTTTTTATTAATAGAATACTGATGACTTAAAAAGTCGAAAGCGCTAGATGAATTTTATTAAACAGACAGTTATTATATTAATATAATCTCCTCCTGCACACTTTAAATGCAAAATATAGTTTTATTTCTTAATTACCAAGTGTATACACAAATTACCACTTTCTTGAGAGAGCCTTACCCCAAGCAAAAACAACCGTAACTAATAACTAGTGATCCACAAAACCATTTCTAAAGAATGCCACGACTGACAGACGAGTCAAGTTTGTGATAACTACTCTCCGATATACGTGATTATTTCCATGGCATACTTTTAATATTTTTGTAATCAGTCTATATTTTAAGTTTAAAAATATAATAATGTGTGTGCCTCGTACATTATGGGCATGTATATTGAGTGAACTAAAAATTCATGGAATGATGAAATTTCTCAAGAAATTTGCCTCAAATTAAAAAATTATGATTAATTACAAATCTACGTTAGACATTAAAAACATTTCCTAGGCAACCAGAATAGTATATTTCATTACAAGTTCTGGAAATGCATTTATGGACGTGTAATGAACGATATTTTTCATTATACCTCTCTGAAAATGAAAACGAGACAAAAATTTTATTATGTATACTAGAAACTTTTATTTTTAAATATAAACGAACAAATACTTGTTATCTTAATTTTTACTAAGTAAAATATTTATGGTACAATTTGTATTGTTGTAAATACAAACTCCTTTAGTAGTTATTTCATTTTGTATAATTGTTGTTGAAGTCCATGGTACATTATTTTCGCCAACTACAACGTTTTCTGGTATTAACTCTGTATTTTCTAGTTTTGAATGACTAAACAATTTACGAGAAACTTCAATCTTTCGGTTTATCGATTATTCAATATTTCCTCTAGTTACAGTTGAAAATAAATAACAGCGCTTATGTTTAAAAACAATTAAAACTTCTGTAATACGTAATACATTGTTTCGTGTTGCTATGCAAAATATAAAACTACTTATTTTAGCACACAGGAATTTTTTTTCTAAGCGATTGCACAGAAAAATCCAATTTTCGGTGTGCTAAATAGAGATAGTGTTTTTAGAGAGGTATAATGAATTTTTTTTTGTATTGAATCGATTTTTCAATTTAACATTCAATTCTTCGAAGCTTTTCTCGTTCGTGAACTTTTGGCTTACTTAGTAGAATCTCATTTTAAATGACCAATTTGTTTAGATCTCATATATTATATATTTACAAAAAAAATAGTGATTTTTTAATTCCTCTCCAGCATTTTTATTTCAAAAAATTATCACTATGTAAAAAAATGTTGGTGGTTCTGTGATGGTATTTAGTTACATCTAATTTTAGTAAATGAGTACCTAGAAATAGCAATATTAGCGTTAGTCTATTTATTTTCTTTATTTATTCTTTTTAGAAATATATGTTTTAAAACAGTTTCTAACAATTTTATTTAACTTAAATTATTCCTATAATTATGATAAAAACAAAAGTATGGAACACAACTAAGAACACAACTACAGTAACAAGTTTGAGACTAATAAAACGCCTTAATTAAGATACTGAGAATCGTCTTGAACGTTAAACAGGTAAGTTATGAGTTTGCGCACCTCGGTCTGAATAAATTTGCTAAAACAAAGAAATTGTTTGAAGTACTTTTAGATATTTCAGTAGTATTATATTACGTAAGAGGATGGTTTGATTGGACCTGAGAAGCTGATACTAGCGCCCATAAGGCGATACGATTTTTTTTGTATATTTATTTATTATTCAAACATAGGGAGTATATTTTTATTCTTGTTAGTTTTTTTAAAGTTGAAGTTTAAATTTATAAGTTCAAAGGAACTTTTCGGGCGCACCTCGTAGAATAAAACTGTTTTTAAACAATGGGAGCGCGGTCATATGCCATGATGAACTTTGGACATCGTGAAGAGAGGGAAGCGCGCCCATACAGCACATTATTTCAGAAGTGTTTCAAATATAACATTTCAAGCACAAGTTTCTGAAATATTTTAGTTAAAATTTCATTGAAAATGTTTCTGAAACATGGTATACATGTTGCACAAAAGGTTACTAGACGGGGTATGTTGTAAAAGGCCAACAATTAATGAAGAATTTCTGATTTGTAAGAAGATGGGATATGTAGTTATTTTATTTCATCATATATCCCTGTCCAGCCACCAGCTAGAAACAAGCCTATATTCTAAATAATTATAGAGTTGAGTTGTTGATTTTTTGATATTTATGCGTTGTGAACTTGTTATATGGGAAGCAGAATATGTCTTTAGAAATTAAGGTGAGAACTACATAAATAATGCTTGCTTAGGTGGATCTTCATGTTTTGTTTAGACATGAGTATTGTTTTATTATAGTTAATTTAAAACAATATTAATAAAACTATTGTTAATCAAATAATTTGTATAGATCCTTTTTAATTACCTATATTTTGTTTAAAATTAGTGCATTTAAAGGAATTGGTGGAAATGAAGCAATTTGCCAGCTTTGGGGCTGTGCTAGTAAAAGTAACATCCAAGTTATTCAACGTTTCCAGAATAAAGTATTAAGGAACATCGTCGATGCATCCTGGTACTGCCGTAATACTGATCTTCATAGGGACCTTAAAGTGGAGACTGTTGAAAATACAATACAAAAATTTGCCAGTAGTCACCAACAACGACTGCTCCAACATGGAAACCTTGAGATTATCCAGCTCCTCAACAATGCCAATCTAATAGGAAGACTCAAGAGAACCAGTTCTTTTGAGTTAGTTCAGTGATGTTAGATTAAAATAGAGTATAGTGCTGTTAAGTGTTACATGTTAACGGTAGTGTAACTAAATAATTAGACTCCAGAGTACAATATATAGTGAGTTGAATCTTACTTTATGAAGTTTTTCATCCCTAGTTAAGTTAGGTAAAAATAAAATTGCTAATTGATCTTAATGATTAGATTATAATAATCGTAAATGTTTCTTTACTTGGAGCATTTATTAAAAAAAACCTAGTTGTTTCAAATTAGTGCATTTAAAGGAATAGGTGGAAATGAAGCAATTCGCTTCTATATTTTATGAAATATTCTTCAAAACATATTTATTTATTTGTTTGTTTGTTTAAGAATCAATGTTTAAGTTTTGTGTATTTTAAATAAACATGTATATTTTTTAAATGTCGTTTTTTTAGTCTAATAATATATTGAAAAAAAAACTAGAATACATTTCTGAAATATTACTATTTAATATTTCTAAAAGATTTCAAATTTTCATTTCAGAAATATTACTGTGAAATATTATATTTACAGGACATTTTTACGTTTCAGGCATATTTCAGAAATGTTTCTGGGATGTTTCGTAATATTTATACAACATTGCAAATGTTTCAATGTAACATTGTTTAAATATTTCCGAAATGTGTTTGTGCTGTATGGGCGATCCCATAAATAGGCTGCAACGTGAGTTTTAACTCTATCTAGCATTTTGTCATTACCGATAACCTCTTTATTTATTTTTCCCCTCCGGTGAGTTATATGTTAGCAAGAGGTTAAGTTATTAGAAAAAGTGTGCAGATCCCAAGTTCTGCTCCAGATAATGTTGAAATTGTTTCTTTATTTTTTGTTGTGTAAAATTTATGAATTTACGCAATACTATTGAAATTTTTGATTTAAATGTTAATAAGGGCATTTGCAAAAATAAAGTGGCATGGTCGCATTTACTTAGCTGGTGTAAATAGTATATCGTTGGTTGCATGAATAAAATAAAAATATTTTTCTTTTTTTTATTATTTAAAGTCCTATGCCGAGTCCCATCAAATCACATCCTCTTATTAATAAAATAAACGCACTGGCTAGCCGACCGCCGGCGGTAGTTGAATCTAATAAAACGAAAATCGTCTTCCGGCGGCATGGTCTTATCACATATAAAAAAGCCGCCGAAAATCTAACCTGATTTGTTGATCAGGGCGGCATGCTATCAGTGCATTGATAAATGCCGCCGTACGACGGTCTACTGTATTTAAAACATTGAATGCCGTCGGAGAAATTGACATAACCTTATTTCTTCCATTTCTATGTAAATTTTCACTTGTTGAATATTAATATTGTTCCTGAGTGATAAATATGAAGCTAGGAGACGTATTTGAAACTTATGAAGACTTTTTGAACGACTTAGATAATTATTCCAAACGAGAATTTGTATCCTTTTGGAAGAGAGATGCCAGAACAGTTTCAGCGGCCAGAAAAAAACCGATCGTTTTCTAGATCCAAAATTAAAATATTACCAATTGAAATATACATGCATTAATGGTGGAAGAACGTTCAACCTGACTGGAATAGGAAAGAAAATGACAAGGTAATAATTTGAGACCACTTTTATTCGAGATTTAAGATTTACGCAAATAAAAAAGCTGGATTTCTCTTTTTTTAGCACGTACAGGTCTGGATGCAATGCCCATATCACTTTAAGAGCTTCAATGTGTGGTACCAAGCTACAAATAATAAGTATAGGAACTAAGCATAACCACACTATTAGCAAGGTAAGTGTGATTTCTTTAACATCTCAAACTTAGTGCACTGCACACAAGCTCGGGCAAGGCAGCCCCCCATATTTGCACTGTTTGCTCAGAATGTTGATGAAAATTGCATTCCAGATGTGGGACGAAATGATAATATTACTATTATAAAAGTCACACATAATGATTTACCAATTATATACAATAACGATCCAACTATTGCTACAAATTGTGATGGCCCTTCCGTACCTTCCACAAGCACTGCATCAGTTCTAAATATAGATGAAATAAAAAATGCCCATTGCCATGAAAAAAAGAGGTAGGCCGAAAGGTCGTTCTAATACTGTCATTGGGTTAAGCGCAAAACGAAAAAAAGAGATTGGCACAACCAGCACAACAAACAAATGTTCCGAAAACATAAATACTGGTCAATTGAATAAAAAATATATTTTCATTAGAAGTACCTTTTTTATTTTAAATGTTCTTAGTTCTATAATAAAATTGATCGTTTCCATGTGTCTAAGTTTTATTTAATATTCAACAAGTGAAAATTCACATAGAAATGGAAGAAATAAGGTTATTTCAATTTCTCCGACGGCATTCAATGTTTTAAATACAGTAGACCGTCGTCCGGCGGCATTTATCAATGCACTGATAGCATGCCGCCCTGATTAACAAATCAGGTTAGATTTTCGGCGGCTTTTTTATATGTGATAAGACCATGCCGCCGGAAGACGGTTTTCGTTTTATTAAATTCAACTACCGCCGGCGGTCGGCTAGCCAGTACGTAAAATAAAACTTAAGAATTAGTCAAATTTACCAGCTTTTGATATCTTTTTTCGACGATTTTGGAATAATACCGTATTTCTTTATCCTTTTAAGCACCTCCGTTTCTTCCTCTGCGCTCATAGATTTTAGGATTTCATCTGGAATTTCTTTGTTCGTTGCTGCGAAATAAGTTATTAACCTAAAAATAAACAGTAGTTACAATATTTCTTCTTTATAAATGTTAATTCAATAAAAATCTCCACGTCTGCTGTCATCCACAATTATTATAGGCCGGCAGATAGTGAAAGATTTGGGTGCCTCATTTTCGCATACAAGCCTCGAAGATGGTTGAAAAGTACGTGGATGTTGAGTTAAATAAAAGAAAATTTACGAGTGATCCCTGGGGATAACATGAAAAATTCGATTTTTTTTAATAAAAATAGGTGCGTTTTTCCTATATTTTCACGCAAGCCGTGTTCAATAAATGATTATTTACTCGGCCTCAGAAAACCAAAGGCTTGAGTGTTGGAAGTGGCTAAAGGGTTAAAGTAAGGGCGTAATCTTCTAAGGAAAATCGAGATTCAACCGATTTTTTCATACAAAACCATCGAAAGTATAAAAACGTACATCGTCACTAGCCTGAAAAACATTGATGAGTGGCGTGAATGAATAAGTACATTTTTAGGTCGGAAAATGTAACGGAAATGTTTTCCGAAATTTCAATTATTTTTCCATGAACCAAATTAGTGTCAATTAATTCTTATGAATTTATAAGTCCGTAAAAAAATAATGGCTTGAGTGTAGAGTAGAGTGTGGTCTTCAAATTTTCACATTTTCTCATGCGAGCCGTTTGACATATGCTTAGAAAAAGTGATTCTAAAACTATAACAAAAGACATGCGCATCATATTAATTATACATAAATTATTTTAAAAAAGTTTAAAATTTATTTGTTGATGCTTGATTTACGAAGAAAGTATAATAATTTCTCGTATTATTATTAGGAGTGACAATTCGAATAAGATTCATTATTTCAATACAATCAATTCTGTTATTTAAGATCTCATGAATGAACATGACATCTGCTATTTGCCTACTTTGCTAAAGACTAATGATTTTCAAATTAAAACGGATATTCTGTCTTTCTGATATATGAGAGTAAAATTTTCTTTGGCAATATGAAATAAGGATTCTAATTTGTCAATATAAATCAAGTAGCGGGGATTCCAAATGACAGAGCCATACATGAGAATACTGTTAACATAGGCCATGTACAAGTTTCTGACAGTATGTGGGTTTTTTAGTTCAAAACAAGATCTAAAGATAAAACCTAATTGTCTGTGTGCCTTATAAGCTACATTATATATATGCTTATCAAAAATTAATTTTGAGTCCAGAATAATACCTAGATCTTTAACATTATCTACACGGTGAAGGATTCAATTAGAGATAGTATAGGTATTGTTCAATATATTATTACCGCGAGAAAATTGTATATAACTACATTTAGATGTATTTAAAAAGAAGTTATTTTGCCGACAATAATTTGACAATCTATTCAAATCATGTTGGAGCAAAACTCTGTCATTGGAACATTTTTAAATCATCAGCATACATGATAAATTTAGAAAATTAAAACACGTAGAAATATCGTTGATGTATAGATTAAAGAGTGAGACTCCTGGGGTACTCCAGAAGTGGTAAAAACGGGATTGGACTTGAAATTGTCTAATGTCATTTGTTATCTATTTCTAACATAAGAGTCGAGCCATCTTAGTAGACTACCGTGGATCCCGATGCCAGCAAGTTTCGAAATAATTGAGTGATCAATTTTATCAAATGCGTTTCTATAAAGTCCACAATAATTCTGTCATTTAGGCTTTTCAAAAGGTATTCAATGTAAAGGACTAAATTTGTATCAACCGAACGTTTTTTAATAAAGCCATGCTGCTCGGTGTTAATAATATTTTCCACATCATAGAAAAAAAAATCAGAGAATACTTTCAAATAGCTTACTAAAAATATCTAATTTAGAGATGGGTCTAAAATTATCCACTTTATTTTTGCTTCCAGATTTATGAATCGGAACAATAAAAGCCATTTTTAATTTATCAGGAAATGTACTTATCCATTCGCGCGGCTAAAGGGTTAAAATAAGGGCGTAAGAAATTTTACCCAATTATTTAACACAAGCCCATCAAAACTATGAAAACGTACATCGATTTTCCTTGCAAGATTACGCCCTTATTTTAACCCTTTAGCCAAGTTCTATTAATTAATCATTTAGTGAACACGGCTTCCGTGAAAATATAAACAAAAACACCTTTTTTTTTGATAAGGAAAATCGAATTTTCCATGTTATCCCCAGGGGCCACTCGTAAATTTTATTTATCATCGATGTACTTTTCAACCCTCTTCCGCGCTTGTATGCGAAAATGGGGCACCTAAATTATCTGTCACTATCTGGCGGTCTACTACAGTAGAATACCACAATTGTAGATAGTGACTCATGTTGTAAAGAAATTTTATAGGCCAATCAAATTAGACGTTCACCTTGTACAAAAAAGTTATTTTTAACACAGTGTCTAGGTACACGCTAACTTGTACGCAATTCAAAAAGTTATATACACGCGAAACGTCATGCGCAAGATCTTACTTGTACATCGGTCTCCTTTTGACAGTAGTTGAGCTGTGTCCAGGCCGTTGGTGTTTATGCCGGTCGGCGTAACCAGGTATGGATTGAAATTTTCTGGTGGCGGCGAAGCAGCCACTCTACGAGAAGTCGTTGCTTCATCTTCTTGTTGTCACGGCATTATTATTATTTGTTCAGGTATGTGAAATTTGCTTTTAAGGTTTATAAAATACTGCTGCTATACTCTGTTTTTAAACTAGGAGGAGCGAATTGAAAAGACGTATTTACACAGGGAAAAGTAACTAGATTCGTTACTAAGAGCGTGTTTCGAAATATAGTCGTGTTCAAAATTTATGTAATAGTTGTTATTATCGGCCCTAATTGACGAACGGCCAATAAGGGGTTAAGGAACAAATAAATGTCATACGAGTCGATTTTTTTTGGTTCCAGACAACGGTTGTAAATTTCATATTATTGTTATCTGAAAAGTGCGTCTGTCTAAAACGAACTGTCACTGTCAAATGATATTTAATATGGTCGTTGATTTGTTGATCAGAACTATGTTTTTTTTTCTTTTGAAATCGACTTCTTTTTGAGGATTATGATCATTTTAAAATGGACATTGAAGATTTATGAAAATTATTAATAGAATATCAAGATGCAGGTTAGTATAAAACATAAAATATGATCGTTTTACATTTTCAATTATATATTTGTTACAGGTATAAACTTAAGTAAAAGGTAGATAATCAGTGAATGGCAACTCGATCACATAGTGACTGGAACGTCTCCTATGAGTAGCTTATTTAGTGTTAACCCATAGTTAATACGCTAAAGGACAAGTAAAGGCATTCAAAAGTTTACAGACCTGAGTCAGGATTTGTTTTGAAAACTGGAACCAACATTTTCATATCACTACATGTCAACATTATATCATTTCTAAAATGTAACTGAATTATATAGTAGGTTCTTTTAACTCAAGTTGTAATTTTTACCTATATTTTTTAATTTAAAGTTAACTATTCATACATACCTATGTATTAATGTGAAGTAGATATTTTTAAAAAAATTGTTGTGGAAGTTTAATGTTAGCTCAATATGCTAAATTAAGATTATCTCTACTATAGTAGTTGGTGTTTTAAATGTGAATTAACAATTTTGTAAATGGTTTTATGATTTTTTATAAATAAAATTTGCTTGATTTAGTTACTTTTTATCAATTTGTTAAGAAATTTATCAATTTTTAGTTTTTTTCTGGAATACTTCGGAATTCATTTCTTCATGGTAATCTCCCACGTTTTTGCCTTCAAAACCAATAATGTATTTTCTACAAAATATTCTTCAGAATTATAGCATGTAAAATAAAGTCTTCCTTTTTTTATAGGGCTTTTCAGGAATTGTTACCCTTAATAGTATTTGATGAAAAAGGATCCATAATCGTAGAAATTCAATACAATTGCTTACTAAAGTTCTGAAAAGAACTATTATTTACGAAAAATGGTAAAAAAAAAATGGTAAAAAATATCAAAATATAAAATGTCAGAAGTGTCAATTATTAGCTGGGCTGGAACTCTGTGTCATGTAGAATTCTACTTATCGCTTTCTACAATAGATTCTTTTGTGGCACTTTGTGTAACATAGCGGAAAACCAACGAGTATATACTTACTACAGGATAACTAGTTTCATAAGAAACCGCATTGCGATATTTCCCGTGCGGTTGATAACGTATTTATCACAAAAGAAATCGATTCCATTGTAGAAAGCGATAAGTAGAATTCTACATGACACAGAGTTCCAGCCCTGATGTTAATACTAAAAAGTGATGTGTGAAACTGATTGCAATCTGACCAATCAGAAGTCTACAGAATTACCAACTTATATTCAAATCGCTCCTCCTAGTTTAAAAACAGAGTAAATGAAAACAAACAAGACGCATTCACACAAACACCTCCCACCATAGCAATTACAAATTATTAGTGTTGTCCCCGATACGCGAGTATTATTATGGGCCTCGTCCTGAGGAATCGCCTTTTTGATCGTAACTAATGTAGATAACTTGGGCGCGTAATTCAACGTTTGATGGCGTTTCGCGTGTATATAATTTTTTGATTTGTGTACACGTTAGCGTGTACCTAGCCACAGCGTATTTTTATTAGTTGTTGATTTTTTGAATACCGACAAAAGGAGAAATATTCAGTATTAATTAATAAACAAATAGTGGGGTATTGCAAAATTTATTTAATCTCTTACAAATTTACAAAAACCTTCTTCTACTAAAACCTTTTAGATTATACGTACAGATAGTTTCAAAAAATTGAGAAGATCGCTATCGTTATAAATTTTTGGAATAACTAATTCATTTCTTTATTGACATTTAATTCTAACCAAACTTTTAAAGAAAACATCAATAAATTTGACATATACGTTTTTACTGTTTTTAGTTTATTTCTAAATATTGTTTACAGGTCATAAAAATTAGTTTAAAGATATGTAATTGGTAACTAAACGATTGTATATTTGATGCATGTTATCTACTTACTAGGAATATATTTATAAAAGTGAAAAAA